CCTATGCACAAAAACAGCGCTTTAGCTGTGTGAAATCACTCCAACTGACTGTCGATATTTAGAAACTCTAATCAGCTGGTGATCAGCAACATGTATTCGCACACAAAAATCAAGTAAAACAAATGAGAGCCAGAGCCTACAAGCTAATCCCCACCGTCACGGGACCACTTCCGTCGCTGACTGCCCTCGTCACTTCTGGACTCATCTCCAGACCCGCCAGCGCCATCGTCAGCATCGGCATCGCTGGCCGCAGCTGGAGCAGGTTTTTGCGCGCGAATCTTGCGCTTTCCCCGAGACTGGGGGATCCAGGTACCGTTCTTCCAATGTTTGTGCCAGATCTCGAAGCATGATATGGCATCTCCGTTGCTTGTATGCTTCACCTTATTGCACAGGAAGACACGAGCAGCCTGCGCATTCCTGGACGATGTTTTGAGCTTGCAGCCACCACAATAGAACGTCGTCTCGCCTCCTCTAGCCTAATCCGCAAGCTTGAGAACAGAGCATACCTTGCATGCCCGCTGCCGGCGCTTTCTCGTGTCCATTCTTGTTCCCTTTGCGCCATTCGTCGGTCTGAACAGGCACGTGAGCTGTAGCAGCTCGGCGTTGTCGCGTTGGGGTTAGCACTGATCCTTGATGGTGAAGCATCTTCTCTCAATGTTGGCCTCGCAGCTGAATTAGTTCGAGATGTAGCTGTTTCAAAAAGTCGACATGCGAAACCCTGGTCTTGCCGTCAACTGAGCGTCGTCAGTTGTACACAATGAATGCGTTAATAACCACTAGGTCGATCAAACCAAGAAACGTGACTGGTAGTACTTCTTGTAGCTTCTTGCTAGCTGGAAAGAGTATCTGGAGGAACAGGCATTAGACACGATAAGCTCAATCCGTAAACAAGTATATACACGACAAGAAAACTTACCGTTGAAGACGCAGTTGGTCGTGTACGTCGACCCCACCCATGTACATCTGGTAGTCTTTGACGATTCGTGAAGCCATGAGCTCAACTTCGTCTCCGTCTGGGCTACGTCGTACAATTCTGTCGCTCGCACCACTACCTCCAGTAGCGAGAATGTGAACACCTTGTTTATCAAACCACCGCACCGCTTTCATCTTGGGGACGTGTAAAGATTGAGCCGCTTCGAAAGTTCCGCTATCAATATTGCACGGCCGCTTGTTGGATGCTCGTCTCCCGTTTGCCAATTTCTTGGGGAGAATTCCTTCGCACAAGCCTTGCCGATTCATCATGATCGTTCCCACCGTGTAAAATTTCAGGGTGCCAATCTTATCTCGAACGTGATTAGGTT